CTGGTGTTAGAAAACCAAAAGGGAAGAAAACGTTTAGCATTTCTCAAGCTGAGGAAACTGAAGAAAAATTCAAGCCTCACCTTGAAATATTGAAGGATTCTATAGGCAAAATATTGAATGATGCAGAAAGCATCAAAAGAAGATGGAAGGAGAACAAACAAGATGGCAGATTGGGTGGATGTGCAGTAAAGGAGCTCCGCCAACAAGAACACAGAATACCTGACCAAGCAGGCTCAGGAGATGGTCCCAGAACTCTAAGCCACATATAAAGGAATATTTAGAAGGTAGGATGGCTCACAGCTGGGGGAATTTGTGGCAGAAGCAAGAAATCCACTGCTTTCTAGTTCGGGATGCTTGGCTGCTCCAGGAGCCACCATCTTGGGTAAGACCAAGCAGGGGAAGGATTTGAGTTGTGCCCCATCAGCAAATTAAGGTCCTGCGGACTTTTTTCCCATGGCTTTACTCCATCGCATCATCATGGTCAATTCTACTTTGAGGAGGCAGCTCTTCCCCAGTCACATTTTGAGTGCCTTCCAACCTGAGGGGCTCATTTTCCAGCACTTATCTGACAGTGTTTCTCTGCTATTCATAAGGTTTTCAATGACTAAGTATTTGGAAGTAGTTTGTCACTCCTTTCTAGTCTGTTTTTGTTTGTAAGCTCATCTGAAACCTGTCCACCATGGGTGACCCTGCTGGTATTTAAAATACCCATGGCATAGCTTCCAGAATCACAGCAACTCACAAGCCACCACAGTATGACAGACTGACAGATAAGTGGTGGAACCTGCTAAATAGACCAAGAAGCAGTTGTTCGAAGAGAACAAGGGAACACTGAGTGGTTTAAAATTAGGAAAGGTGCATGCCAGGATTGTATACTTTCACCATATTTATTCAGTCTGTGTGCTGAACAATAATCGAGAAGCTGGACTATGTGAAGAAAGATGTAACATAAGCATTGGAGGAAGTCTCATTAACAACCTACAATTTGCAGATGGTGCAACCTTTCTTGCTGTAAGTGAAGTGGACTTGCAGTACTTATTGATGAAGATCAAAGTCTTTGGTATGTGGTGCACTTCATTGTAAAGATAACAAAAATCCTTACCAGTGGACCAATAAACAACATCCATATAAATGGGGAAAAGATTGAAGTTGTCAATGATTTCATTTTTCTTGGATCAACCATTAACATTCATGGACGCAGTAGTCAAGAAATCAGATGTCTTATTACATTTAGCAAATCAGCTACACAAGACCTCTTTTAAAGTGTTGAAGAGCAAAGATGTCAGGTTGAGGACTAAGATGTACCTGACCCAAGCCAGTAACCTCATATGCATGCAAAAGTTGAACAGTGACTAAAGAAGACTGTAAAAGAACTGATATATTTGCATTATGGTGTTGGAGGAGAATTTAGGAAGTAACATGGACTTCGAAAAGAACAAATGGATATGTGTTAGAAGAAATAACAGCCAGAATTCTCCTTGGAAGCCGGTATGGCCAGACTTCGTCCTTCATACTTTGGATACATTATCAGGAGGGACCAGTTGCTGGAGAAAGATATCATGTTTGGTAAAATGGAGTGTTGTAGAAAAAGATCAAATACCCTCAACAAGATGGATTGGCACAATGGGCAGCAGCAGTGGGCTCAACTGTAGTTATGATTGTGAGATTGTCCCAGGACTGAGCAGTTTTTTGTTTTGTTGTGCATAAGGTCACTATGAGTCCATACCAACTCAGTGGTACCTGACAACAACAACAACAACAACAATATTGGCTAATGGTAATGAATATTTCTGTATATATGTTCGATACTTAAATGCCTTCTTTGGTGGAGTGTCTGTTCGTGTCATCTGACCATTTTAAAATTTGATTATTTGTCTCCTTTTTTAAAAAAATGTTTTTATTGTGAATTATGTGGGTTTACATGGGAGACCATCAGTTTTACATTCATCCTATTGAATTTCGTTTTATTGCAATGATTACAATCCCCTCCATGCATCATCAGATAACCAAACTGTACACCCCACAGGCCTGCCCCCTTGGCTGTTAGCACATAGCCTCTCCCTCCCTGTCTCCAGCTCCAGGTCCTCCATCTGTCCACGTCATCACCTCTGTCTCCATCCCTGGGTCTCTGCCTCTCTGGGTAGGGTCCAGCTCTCCACTCTTCTTACTTGATGCTCCTGGGCTGCAAAATCAATCACTCTCCTACTTTTGTCAAAAAACATCACCTCTATATTTCCGACCTGCATAGTCAGTACTGATGGCAATTATTCACTGTTGTATCACAAGAGTCTTATCCCCATTTACTTTTGCCAGCCCGGTCCCAACAGATTGGAAATCACTCAATGTAGGTTCTACCTATTCTACCTACCCCTGCCCCATCTGGAACTAGGCTCACTCTTGAAATCGTGTAAGCCAGTCACTTCTTGCCTTTATAGTGCCCCCTCCACCCCACCATTTTGGGCAGCCAATGTCTAAGTTGCCCATCCCTGTCAACTGTGTGTAACGAGGGGGTGGGAGTCATCCTTGCTGTAAAAGATTCATTCCCTGTTTTTGAGGTACTACATCCGTAAGTATAGGTAAAGTGGGTACTCTTATTTTTACCCCCTCTTCTTTCTTCTTCTAGTTGAGTTCTGATCATCTAGCCATCAAAGCCAGGTCAAATGGGTACTAGCTGCAAGTATGGGTGTTCTTGTGCATCTCCCCTCACTTCATATGAGCTGGACGCTTCATTCTCCACTCTAGTCCTCTGTGGCAATGTCACTACCTCTGGGCCCAGGAGTCCCAGGGTCTTGCCATACTGCTAGCCATCCAGGTCTCCACCTGGGTTCACGGAGTCTGTTGAATGTGATCGGACTTAGATCCCAACTTCATTGCTGTTTTTCAACCCCTCTTCCAGACCACATGCCTGCTCGTGTATTCCCCTTGAGTCTTAGTCTTGGAAGAGAGTTTGCTCTGAGGGGACCCGACCACTTGCCTTGATGGCTCCCAGGCAATTATTTGTCTTCTTGCTGAGGCATTGAAGTGATGTATGAATTTCAGAGTTGTCCTTTGTCTGGCATGTTATTGCGAAATATTCTTTACAAGTCTGTGAGTTCTTTTTGCTCTTTTAGTCGAATCCTTTGATGCACATAAGAATGTAATTTGAGGAGGTCCCAGTCATCTATTTTGCCCTTTGTTTGTGTGTTTTTAGTTATGTTTGATAATGTTTTTATGCCATGTATCAGAGCCCCTAGGTGTGTCCCTATTGTTTTTATTGATGATAAAAGATAACAAAATCTTTGTTCCCGTAAAGATTTATAGCCATGGAAACCCTCACTATGTGTTGGAACTGACTCCACAGCACATAGCCACCACTCTAAAGGAACCTCTGCCTCAAGTCATGTGAACTACAGCCAGTGACTTGGAGCTGGAGTTGTTTGTCCTGTCAGATTTGTTAGATTTTGTAAATAGGGAATAATTTGGCCTCCTCTATTCTACAGGGTCCATAGTGGTTACGAATCGGATTGTAAACCACAAGGTCAGCAGTTCGAAACTACCAGCTGTTCTGTGGGAGAAAGAGGAGGCTTTCTCCTCCCATAAAGATTTACAGCCCTGGAAACCCTGTACAGGGTCGCTATGAGTCAGAACTGACTCCGTGGCACATAACCACCACCACCACCATTCTAACAGGGTCACTAAGAGTCGGAACCGACTCCATGGCACATAACAACAACAGCAATTCCACCATAAGGAGCCCTTGTGCATAGTGAGTTAAACATTGTGCTATTAACTGCAAGGTTGGTTGGTGGTCTGAATCAGCAGCTTTGAGATCTGAAGATTGAGGCTGTCTGCTCCCATAGAGATTTACAGCCTTGGAAACCTGCGGAGCAGTTCTGCTATCTTATAGAATTACTCTGAGCCAGAACCGACTTGCCCTCAGTGGATTGGGTTTTGGTATTCCACCATAGTTTGTTGTGGGAGGAGGATAAGAGGGGAAGAAGTTAATAAATATGTACCTAGGGTCCCAGATTGGCACTTCAAATATATTTTTCTGTAGAAATACTGTGGACCACAGTATTTAGTTTCCACAATACTTATTTATTTTAACCTTCAGATATACTGAATTAAATGGACTTTTGTGGGCTTATCTGAGGTCTTGGCTAACATACTGACAAATAATGTTTCTGTAGCTCAGTTTGTCTCTGAGTTCAGAAGAATTAATATCTGGATTTGTTAGAATGTCAGGGACTCTATAAGTTGAAATGGAAATTCGAATAATACAGTATTACATTCACATTGTGCTTTATAATTTACAAAACATTCTCATGAAATTATTTATATGTACTGTTAGAACAGTTGGGAAATTTGTTTAGATTCCTCTTTAATAAATCTAAAAGTACCTTTGATTTTGTTCTTGTTAAATGCTGTTCGTGTTCGTTACAACTCTTAGTGTCCCTGTTTAGAGTTTCTGAGACTTTCTAAAATATTTGCAGGAATAAAAAGTCTCATCTTTCTCCCACGGAGTGAGTGGCTGGTAGGCTCGAACTGCCGATTCTGTGGTTCATAGTCTTGTGCTTGTCCTATGTAGCCACTGTAGAAGGGTAGAAATGTTGAATGTTATTGGAAATTATAATTTCTTTCTATTAAAATACATTCTATTATTTTGTCTCATTGTGATTGAGTTGGATAAGATTCAATGAAATCTTTTACTACTGGTTTTTAACACTCTAAAAATATTACTGGAGTTATTTTTCTACTCTAATTCAAAGTCTGCGATTTCAAGCCATCGTGTTGTATTCATTAAATCTTAAATAATTCAGGAGTTAGAAAATCATTGAATTTACTACCACATTATCCTCTTGATGTCCAAGTATTGGCTTCTCAATTGATGTAACATGTTTTTGTTTTGTTGTTAGTGGTTGGTTGTTTTTAATGATGCAATATTGTTGTAGTATAACCTAGAAAAATGCATTAACTGTGATCTGTGGTGGTGTTGATGTTTTGAACCAATTTGCCTCCAGGCTAAACAGCAATTGAATCTTCGTACACATATGGCTGATGAGAATAAAAATGAATATGCTGCACAGTTACAGAACTTTAATGGAGAGCAACATAAACATTTCTACATAGTGATTCCTCAGATTTACAAGGTAAATTTTGGATATATGAAAGTAACCCAGTTTTAGAGTTGGAAGTGCTAGTCCTTAAATGTAAAACTTTAAAATTCTAGACATACTTCTAGATTTAGTAGTCATTATGACTGGTGATGGGATCTCTGGTAGCATGGTAGTTTCGAGTCGGGCTGCTAATCTAACAGTCAGCAGTTCAAAACTACCAGCAGTTGCACAGGAGATATATGGAGCTTTCTGCTTCTGTAAAGATTTACCGCCTAGGAAACCCTGTACAGGGTCACTATGAAGTCAGAACCGACTCCATGGTACATAACCAACACGACCATGATTGGTAAGAAGAGATTTGTTTTTATAGGTACAGATTTGACAAATAAATTTTGCTAACTTTTTTTTTTTAATCACAAGTTTTCCTACAGATATATTAATAGTGTTATAAACAATTTACTAAGACAGTAACTCTTTTAGAGATGTTGTTTTTAAGCGCTGTTCAGTTAGTTCTGACTCATAGGTGTTTCCAAAGCTGTAAATCTTTGTGGGAGCAGAAAGCTTCATCTTTCTCGTGTGGAGCAGTTGGTAGTCTTGAACCACCAATCTTGTGGTTAGCAGCCCAGTATTTACCTTATAGAGCCACTAAACTACTCACTTTCTGAAATAAATTTTCATATTAAATCATTAAATATTTATGTGGCACTGTCGATTAATGCACTGGACAGCAAAGTCAGTTTGAACCACAAGCTTGGTGATTCAAGCTCACCAGATACTCTGGAAACCCTATACAGGGTCTCTATGGGTTGGAACTGTCTCAGTGGTGCTTAACAACAACAATAGGAGGACCTCATCAAAATTTTATGCTGTAATATGCTCACCTAGAATGCGAATGTAGTCTTCTGACATCATACCAGAATCTTTGGCATTAGTTCAGGTGCCAGAAATAAGTCTTATAAATGTTATTTGCTAGCCCTGTTTTTACATGCTTATCTTCCTGACTTTTGTCTGATCACAAATGTAATTCAGATTTTGAGCTTGCTCATCATTGCTTGTTGTTGTTAAGTACCATTGGGTTGGTTCTGACTGATAGCGACCCTATGTAGGGTTTCTGAGGAGCACTTGGTGAGTTTGAACCACTGACATTGCGCTTCAAACCACCTTTTTGTCAAGTGCTTATCCATCGGCGCCAGTCCCATGTAAAAATAGAGATTACATGAAGGTAAAATTATGTTACTGCCTGCTCTAGAAAGAACAGAAATTACAAAGAGGGATTGAGTGAGGTAGTATCTGGAGTAGCAGAACTTGTTTGGAAAGAGTATCAGTTCAAGTGTTCTTTTTTCTTTATAAGGAAAATTAGAAGTACAAAGGAAGTAGAGTGGCAGTTGTTGGACTGGGTGGGTGTCACGTTCTGGTCATTTAATCCAGAGCTTCCAGCTTGCCTTTCCCTATTCTGTGCTGCATTTCCAGGCTTACTGGCTAAACCTTCATATTCTGAAGTGGCTCTCACCTGGAGAAGAACTACCTTCTGTAGTTTAGGACTGATCCTTTTGTTTGATCCTTGCTGTTGAGCAGTTGCCCTTTTATCATGCTGAGAAAAAGCACATTGGTTTTGTGAAAATGCACATGCAAAATAAAACTCTTAAGCCTCAGGAAGTGGTCACAGAGGCAAAGTGGTATAAAAACTAGGAATATGGTGACTTAAGCAGTGTAGTTGCTAAGGTCAGTACTGGCAAATAAGAAATGCCAAGAAATACCTTAAAGTTATTGGACTTTGTGTCCCAACATATTTCATAGTGGCATGTGCCAGTGAATTTTCTAATTGTGGGGAGTATATATATATATATATATATATATATGCCATACTGTCCTTTTCCTCCCTTTTTTTCCTCTTGTGTTCCCAACCTTTAATTATTGAATAGTTACCTCTTGGCTTGCAAACAACTGTAGACCCTTAAAGTAACTCTGAGTTGATTTAAGGGATTAGAAGTATCAGACTTTGTATGTGTTATAGGTCAACTGTTTAAAAAAACAAACAGAACTAAGGAATTAACAAGAGAAGTGTAACTATTAGGGTAAGAAATTTTTAGTTTTTTCAAGGAGTCATTCATTGAACTCTTTTAGAATGAAAAGAAAATTCAGTTTTCCTTTTTTTTTTTTGAAACATTCTTCATTAGCAACTACAAGAAATGGATGAACGGAGAACGATCAAACTCAGTGAATGTTACCGAGGATTTGCAGACTCAGAACGCAAAGTTATTCCTATCATTTCTAAATGCTTGGAAGGAATGGTTCTTGCAGCAAAATCTGTTGATGAGAGAAGAGTAAGTGCTATATAATTATCTTTGAATAAATGTATTTGGTTCGGGTATAAAGGAGCTCTGGTAGCATAGTGGTTATGAATCGGGCTGCGAACTGCAAGGTTAGCAGTTTGAAACTACCAGCTGTTCCGCGGGAGAAAGATACAGCCTCGGAAACCCTGTAAAGGGTCGCTATGAGTCGGAACCGACTCCACGGCACATAGCTACCACCACCACCATATAGTTTCAGTTTGTAAGATGAGTTAAGGGAAAGGAGTGAAGTAATCTTATGGATTGTTGTTGTTGTTGTCAGGTGCCATCGAGTCGGAACCGACTCATAGCGACCCCATGCACAGCAGAATGAAACAATGTCCTATCCTGGGCCAACCTCACTACTGCTGCCACACTGAGTCCATCAATGATGCCACCTGGCCGATCCATCTCGTTGGGGGTCTTCCTCTTTTTCTCTGACCCTCCACCTTACCCAGCATGACATCCTTCTCCAGAGACTGTTCCCTCCTGACAATATGTCTAAAGTATGAGAGACGAAGCTTAGCCAATCCTGACCTCCAAGGAGCACTCTGGCTGCACTTCTTCCAAAATAGATCTATTGGTTCTTTTGGCAGTCCATGGCACTTTCAGTATTCTCCTTATTCTAAATTATATCTAAATGGCTTTGAGTGAGTTAGCCTTTTGTGCTCTAAGGACCATTTTATATGCTAAAACTTTGGTTCTTTTAAAGAAAGAAAAAGAAAGAAAAAAAAAAAAAAATCTGTGTTCCTAAAAACACCACTAAGAAAACTGCTCTTGTACTGCTGGGTCTTTGCTAGACCTGGTCATTTCTCAGTAAATGTTGAGTGAGTGACCAAAAATCCTGGTTAGCAGATACTGAGGATCTGAAGCAGGAGAACCATTGTGTGTGGAGCACCTGTTATTTGTGGTGGTTTAGACTTCACTGCAAGTCTTTCAAATTGGTATTGTATTAGTGAGTGTCCATCGTGTATCAACAAATAGAATTCTAACAAGTTAGTGTGGGCAAGAAAAGAGGACTTTGGACTTCTTTGATTGGGAATTCTAAGGTGCATTTGTATTTGAATATGGCTGGATTCCTGGTGTGACGCTATGAGTTAATGTGCTGGACTGTGAGGTCATTTTGAACTGCAAGGTCGGTGGTTCAAGCTAACCAGCCACTCCTTGCAGGGGTCGGAACCAACTCGATGGCACTTAAAATTAACGTGACTGGATTGAAGGTTATATGTACAGTATAGTTGAACCTCTCCCTCTCCTCATTCTTTTTCTCCTATCTCTTTCCTTACTGCTTAGCAAATGATTGCTGGGGGTGGCATTTATGACAAAAAGTAAGGTATGACTTAAGGATGACTTTTGACTAAATGACAGACAAAATCTACTTTTAGCAAAAATATGGAACAAAGGAATAGGGAGAGGTGGTTAGGGTGGGAAGGAATTTGTGGAATGCTGTTTTGAAAACAGTAAAACATTACATAATATTTATTTTCATGTTAAGTTTTAGTAAATAGCATTAAACTTTATATCATTTTCAAACTTGTATTTTACTTTCAGCAGAGATTTCGAAATCTCCTGTTGCTCTGTTACCATTCCACAGTGTATTTTTATTAAATTACCCTCCACTGTGGTTCAGGCTGCGAACCTTAAGGTCAGCGGTTCGAAACTACCAGCCGCTCCGCGGGAGAAAGATGAGGCTTTCTACTCCCGTAAGGATTTACACCCTCGGAAACCCTGTACAGGGTCGCTATGGGTCGGAACCGACTCGATGGCACTTAACAACAACAACAACAACAACCCTCCACTCCAGTGGATGATTAAAAGCTTTTCTAATCATCTGTTAGTTTCTTTTACAATTAGACCTTCTTTGCTCTGTTCTAAAAAAGGCCATCCCTTAAGAAAAAAGCCTTTTTTCATTTGATATTTATGTGAATATTTAATTAAAACATTTAAGGTTTGTTGTAATGATTTAAATCTTCAATTATTATAGAATTATTTCTTTATGTTTTTATTTGTTGTTTTCTTGCACTGATAAGTTTGGAAAGCAGTGTAGTATTATGAGTAGTTTTAAACACATTTCTCATGTATATAGGACTCTCAAATGGTGGTAGACTCTTTCAAGTCTGGATTTGAACCTCCAGGAGACTTTCCATTTGAAGATTACAGCCAGCATATTTATAGAACCATTTCTGATGGGACTATCAGTACATCCAAACAGGAAATTGGGAAGATGGATGCCAAAACCACAATAGGAAAGGCCAAGGGCAAGCTGTGGCTCTTTGGAAAGAAGCCAAAGGTAAGACTATAAAATTCTTACATGCAAATCAGTGTTTATTTTGTTTTAAGTAGATCAGTTAAACCAAAGTAGGTATTGATTGGCTAATGATTTACTATTAATGGAGAATAAACATTTTCAATTTGAGTGATTCAGTTAACTTCTCACTTATTAGGAAGCAGTTATATACTTAAAAATAAAAACGATTTCTAAATACAACATTTGGCCCCCACTGGTGGCAATGTAAGATAAGCACTGGACTGCTAACCGCATGGTGGGTACTTCAAGGCCACCAGCCTTTCCACAGGAGAAAGTTGAGGCTCTCTTTGCTCATGAAAACATGATAGCTTCAGAAACTCTATATAGGGTCACTATGAATTGGAATCAAGGCAATGGCAGTGGGTTGGTGGGTTATAATGAGTAAGACTATTAAATTATTTGTTAATATCTAAAGTTAAATTCTTTTGAAATTTAGTTTATATACAGTTTCAATCAGAATTAAAATTGCGATTTTCAGTTGGAATGAATAAGCAATGGTAAATGGTTCCACAGCATGGTAAATGTCAAATTAGGTCTTCTAGATCTTACTAGCAATATTTTTATCATCCATGTAAGTTTTTAATGGATAGAGTTTAATATTCTTGATTGATTGAAGCTAAAAAGAAAATCTCTACTGTACTATGAGGATTTCATAGTGTCTGTCTTTTGACAGGCTGTTTATTATTATGATTTTCATGGGCTGTTTATCGCAGATAGATAAATCTAGTAGAGTGGGCAAGCATAGATGGACTAGAGTGCATTACCTTTTTTTATCAGTTTAATGATGGTAAGAGTAAAGAGAACAGATACATACTATTAATCTGTGGTACTTAGTTTTATTAATTATAAAGTATGCTTGATTATATCTTTCATAATCTTTATATGGTATAGATCAAATTAAAATTTAGTCCAAATTATAATGTGCTTCTAAATATCTTCATAGGCAAGATTGTAATTAATTCAAGCTTTATTCATGTTTGTAATAGCATTGCCCAGTTGAGAAGTTGAGCGATGAGAACTTTTTCAGTTACATCAAAATAGCCAGTAGAGCTTAGAATCTAGGAGATATTAGAACAAAAAACAAAAAAGGTGAAATAAGGATGAACTAGAAGTAGTCTGAGTGGAAAGCCACAATTTAATGAAAAGTTTTTTATTATATGTGACAAGTAGTTACAGTTTTATGATTTTATGTATGACATTGCCTTTTTGGATAGCTGTCTGTACCTAATGCCTTTATTTTCTCTCTAACAAGTACATGTTCAATATAACTAACTAGGATTTTAGGATGGTTCTAATATTTTAGAAATTAGAAGAAAAATTTTAATCTAGGTCTCTTAACACTATAAAGTGTCTATATTTCTAATCTGAGTTTGTAAGAAATGGTCAAATGAAATGGTACATTTTTTAAAGTAAATTTAACTTTTACAAGTGACAATTTTTGGCAAAACTTAAAGTTTCTTCTAACATTTTAATAGAAAACTTCAAGATATATTTTGTAAAACATATGTTGCCAAAAATATAATTTTCTTTAGGAAAAAAAAATGCACATTTGGCTTATTGATTCCTTTCTTTATTTCCATATTAGCCACAGTCCCCACCCTTAACCCCTACTAGTTTATTCACATCCAGTACTCCTAATGGGTCCCAGTTTCTCACATTCTCCATTGAGCCCGTGCATTATTGTATGAATGAAATAAAAACAGGCAAGCCCAGAATTCCTTCTTTCAGAAGCCTCAAAAGAGGGGTAAGTTTAATAATGGGTTAAAATGCATGATGGCCTATTGTGTGTGTACTGTGGCTTTTAATACTCTCCACCCTCATTATAAGGCTCTCTCCTTTAAATACATAGTTACAAACACCCACAGAATTAAGTATAGCTGCCCTTAAGTTAAAAACAACTCCTCTTTATAACATTTCAAATATTCAGCCGTAAAAGAATGGTATTATAAAGAGGGTGCTGGGTACAGCCATATTTTAGCTTTTTTTTGTTGTTGTTTCTGTGAAATCATATGTCCACCATTGTCTTGTATTTACATTTTTAAGACTTTCAGTAATTTGTCACTGGGGTTATTCTTGTAATAATTTGTCACTAATGTTGACTTTTGTCAATTTTTAAAATATTATTTTGTTGACAATAACAACATTAAGCTCAGTTTTAATTGCCCTACTTTTAGAAGCATAAAACACAATTTCTAAGTTAATAAGATATTAAAGATAGGAATGTTAAATATCAAGATTGTTAATCAAATTAATAATATTAGAAGGTATTTTATAAATTGTAAAACCTGTAAAGGTTCTAGATATTAATGAGTAATGATTATATGAAATTTGTTATCTTGAACTAATAAACAAAAAGTAAAATTTTTTGTTGCCAGAATTCTTCCTTTAAAAAACGTATATAAATATATATAGACCATCCTCTTTAACATTTGTTCATTCTTAAGACTACTCTGCAAATGAAAATTTTTGAAATAGTAAAAAGCAAATAATTAAGCTGTTTCTTAGAAAGAGTTATACTACTAATAAATAAGTTAATATTCTATTATGTTAGTGAGGCTTATTGCTCCTGTTTATGTTCGATTTTAAGAGCATGTTTTAAATATTCACAACTCATAACTTAGATATATTTACAAGATTTGTTTGGGCATTTTCTGGGCACATGAAAAACAAAGGTGTGATAGGTCACAGATCAGAATCTGTCAGTATCCTATGGCGTATAATCATGAACAGAAACTTGCTTTACAGTTGGGTTCTCTGTCTTTCCTTCCTGGCCTCCCTGCCTTCTTTCCTTTCTCCCTCCCTTAATTTCTCATTTACTTTTTGTGGCCTTTTCTGTCTTCAAATTGCTTTAGTTGGGTTTCTCTTTTGAACATGTGTAGAATGAGAGATACTAATTTAGGACAAGATTGCTTTATTATCTACATTTCTGTGAAAATAATGACAAACTTAACTGATATCAACAATGCAGCAGAAATCTCCACTGTATTATGTCCTTCTTTGGACGTCTTTTTGTCTTCTATTGACACGAACTTCTCCATGTTTACCTTATCTAATTCTATACATGGATGATATTATAGATAATTGGTGGTATTTTGAAAAGTTTGTAGATAAATCTGTATTATACCTACTGGTACTGCAGAGTGCATAAATCACTTTTCAAAACTCCTAACACTTGTGTGAAAGACTTTTAAGAAATCGTATTTGGGATTTCTAATGCCTGAATTGGAGTCCTGGTGTGGCGCTGTGGGTTAATGCGCTGGACTGCAATGTTGTTTTGAACTGCATGGTTCAAGCTCACCAGTAGTTCCTCAGAAACCCTATACAGGGTCATTGTGGGTCAGAACCAACTCAGCAGCACTTAACAACAATGCCTGAATTACGAGGATAGAATTAAGTCCTATGTTGCTTCTGTTTGTTAATTTAGACAGCACTAAATAAATACTGTTGTTATATAAATTAAGAGAAATTACTTAGTGACTATTTTTTAATATAATTGCTTAAGCATCTTACATGTTGAGACTGCCAGGCTCCATCATAGTACTGTTCATAGTATAGTCATAGGGATGGGAAGTAATTGTAATCCTGTAGAAAAAAGGTTAGGCAGGTAGAATTGTGAGCTCTAGAGAGAGAAACTTAACTGTGATATCTTTGTTCTTAATTGTGTAGGTAGAATTTTACAACTGCAGAGCTTAAAATTACCTGCTTGGTCATTATTTGTTTTATTTTCATATATTGCTTTAATTTTTAAATATTAAAACATTGTTTTATGGGAGTGGTGTTGTAGGGTAAGCACTGGACTGCTACCCACAAGGTCAACAGTTCAAACCCACCAAACGCTCCTTGGAAAACTCTACAGGGATATCTATCTATAACTCAAAATCGACTTACTGGCACTTAACAACAATTTGTAAAAAGTGCAGATTTTCCCCAGTTTAATTATTAGTTCCCATACCAAAGAAGAAATCAATGTGCCTGGTAGAAAATATGACAGACAGACAGATGTTGGGGGATGGAACAGAGAGGAAAGTTTATTGAAATCTTGGAGATGAGAACTTTTTGTTTTGTTTACTGCTTGGTAGGTTACTAGATATTAGTTTTAAATTAACCCGTACAGATATGTTCCTTCCACTTAAGAATTTTCTTGGCATGTTGTTGTTGCTAAGTACCGTCACAGTATAAACAAAAAAAAGAACTATGCTGTACTAAGCCAATTTGTGTATTTTTATGTAGACTTAAAATGTCTTATTTCAGTCTATTATGCTTACAAAATAAGCTTTGAGGCTTCATAAAGCTAAGGTGGTGGTGGTGGTGGTGGTGGTGGTGGTGTGCCCTGCTGGAGTTGGTTCCGATTTATAATGACCCTGCATAGAGTTTCTGAGGCTATAAAATCTTTACTGGAGCAGAAATCCTCATCATTCTCCCAAGGAACAGCTGATAGTTTCAACAGCTTGACTTGTAACCACTATGAAATTTTTGTTTTAAGCTATTTTTGTTGGATATTGTTTTTCCTAGACACCTGGAAACATTTTTTTTTTTTTTTTGCGTGTGTGTGGCTTTTCTAAAAAAGCTTTTTTTAAAAAAGCTTTACATGAAATAACAGCTAATAATTTTAATTATCTCACTGATATTCTTTTTAGGTCCGTTGCTTATTAAGGATAGTGAGTATATAGAAATTTCTAGGCATACTAAGGTGATAATTGTGTATGGAAGTGAGATATTTTTATATTGAATATGTATTTTTTAAAGGGCAAAAAATTAGTATTTTTACAAAGAACTTAATTTTTTTATATCCCCAAATCTAAGATTGATTAATGTAAATTAGTTGTGTAATTATTAGTAAAGCTAGATTAACTAAAAACAAACATTTGATATTTCAGCTAGTTATTTAATGTTTATTCTAAGAGGTATTAATAAATAAAAAATATAATGTGTATCACTTAGAAATTTCACTGATGAAAATTATAAGATATACTGAATTAATATATATTATATATTTTGTTTCTGGTTCATATATAATTTTGTTTTAATAACATTTAATTCAGATAGTGAATATACCTGTCTTTAGTTTAAAGCTTTTAATTTCCTCACCAGGTATTTTATCATAGCTATATACAAGTCCTGGTGTGGCGCGATGGGATATAGCACTGGACCGCAAGGTCGGTGTGAACCACAAGGTTGGAGTTTCAAACTCACCAACTGCTCCTTGGAAACCCTATACAGGGTTGCTGTGAGTCAGAACTGACTCAAAGGCACCTAACAACAACAAAAACAAACACGTTGTGGTTTTTGTTTTCTGAAACTACTGACAGTCTAAAGAATGTTAAGCTTAATTTGGAAAGATAATGGATAACAGATGTCATCTTTTCTTATCATATCATTAATACATATGACCAATTCATCATAGATAAGGGGTAGATATTTTTGTCAGATATTAAAATTCATTCATATCTTTTATGTAAAAATACTACTTGACCTTTCCCAACCCTCTCTAAAGCATCATGATTTAGAAAATAGGGAAAAATAATAAAAAAATTTAGAGGCTGCTAACCAAATGTGATTGATGTGAAGATTAATTTTGTAAAGGTCCACTGCATATTCTGGGCAGCAGAGTGTGAGTGTGAGTGTTGTCTGTGTCTCTGTGTGTATTTGTGTGCCTGTGAGTTTTAAGTTGGAATCACTGCAGATGCAATGCCAGTTTTAGAATCCAACCCGCAGTACATAGAAGTGGGTTATTACATATGTGGCATATATACTGTATGTGACAGCACTCTGATGGTCTGTTCAGAAGATGTATCATTTAATATTCTCTAAGAATAAATCTTAATTTTCTAAAAATTAAAATTCTATTTTATGGTTGTTTTTTTGAGATGCATGGATCTAAATATTAAAACAGAAAAATCAAAACTTCATTTTGAAGGCAAAATTCAATCTATATCTTTGTATCTTTTATAAAATATGTATGGAAAACTTGAATCTGGGCAGCTCATTTTATGATTTTGATAATATCAGTACCTTAACAAAATACCTAAAACTACTAAAGTGTGTTTCCCTCATCGTGCCATGACACAATTTCAATTAAAACCCATACTTTGAACAATAAAATTTCAGACAGTTGTGTTTTACTTAATATATTTCTCAATATTCCACATAGAATATGTTTTTAAATATCAAATATTCTCTTTATTTAATATTCAGCTTTTCAAGAATTCATATTTTTAGATTGAAAAGCTATATAAGTAAAATCTAAAAATTCTCTTAAAAGAAAAACTGTATTACTGATAGAATGATTACAATTTACTTTTGAGTTTTCATTAGTTAAATTCAGAAAATATCTGCCCATTATCATCAATGTATGCTTTTTTTTTTTTTTTTTGCAAGTTATTTACTTTCCCAAAATGTGCTTACAGTTGTTTTCTGGCATAATTATTTGGATTGCAAAATGTACATAATTTATTTTGATATTGTGGAAAAGTATAGGTTATTGCATCTTCTATATATTATAATTTCATGTGAATAATTTATCATTTCTTTCTGTTTTCCATTGAACTATTCAGTGGTCGGTGAAGATGGTAAGCCTAATGTGCTGATCTGTATATTGTGCCAACATTGAGTAATCTGAAAACATTGATTTGTTTCATTTATCATTATGTACTTTAGTAAAGTACATCTATACTTTTTTACTTTGTGTGTATGTTTTTGTTTTATAGTTTAATCCATAATCCTACATGTCTGTACCTTTGATATAGCATTTGGCAATAGTATGGTTAATTATAGTCAGCTTTGTGAAATACTTAACATGTTATTGGGTGGTGTTCTTGTCATGTTAAGGAACAGAATAAAATTATTGTTAAATATTTTTTTAAGTTATATGACAGAACAAAAGTTCAATTTTTACACAGAAGGGAAGTTCAACACAAATGATACTTTTATTCAAGAAGAGCATGTAAGTTTGATAGTTTATCACAAGAAACATTAGATTTTCTAGAAGTGAGAAAGATTTATCTACCACTTCCATTACTGCATCAGTGCTTTTGGACTGTTGGAAAGAGACTAGAACAGAAGTATAAGTAATCTAAAATATTGGGTGTGTGTGTGTGTGTTTGTGTTTAGAATGTTCATTTGTACATGTATTGCAACAAAATTAATGTAACTACATTATGAAGAGCTGATCCAGAGATTATTGGTGCTTGTGTGGTTTCTCATTTTTTGGGAAATAGAGCTTGAATTGCAGTTGGGCCTTTATGAATCCCCTTGTAATAGGAAAGGTTGTTAAATGCCTTCTGGATGAAGAGAAAGTAGAATGAGTTTACTTTTAGTTTTCATAATCAACAAAAGAATAGGTTATAATGTCAAAATGAGATATTAGAAGTGTGAGTGATACAGTGTCTTTCTTATTAATACATTTAAGAACAAGGTTTGGGTAGGGATGGAAAAGGGAAAGCTGGGTACTTGTAGATACTGGTGACTTAGTGACTTTAATATTACTGGGAAATGTATTGAAATATGTTTCTTTATTTCATTAAATAACTTGAAAATTTTAGAAATTAAAAAAAAAATATATGAATTAGCAAGTTTTATCTATTGTAATAGTTTTCAAATCCTGTATCCTAAATTAGATTAAATCTGACAATTTATGTTGAGAATTGATCACTAAATTTAAAGGTACTTCAAATAGGAAATTTGCTATCCATTTATTTAGGTCAGATTTGGCTGGTTGACAGATTCTTATTCTTCGTGGGTTGGAAGATAGAAAAAGTCAAAAGCTACTTAGAATATCTTGCTTTTTAAAGTCAGGTTTATGGAACGCCCATAATGTATATGCCACTGAATATAGCGCCTAGGAATTCTGTTAGTAATTAAATGTTATATTTGATTATGACTCATCCTAAAAGTCAGCTTTCTTTCTCATGCTGTTCACCTCTCCTTTATTTGAAAATTAACTATTCTTAATAGATGGTAAAATAAAGGTAGTGATTATATGTCATAGCAGAAGTGCCCCCTCAAAAGAATGCCCATGTACATTTGTTTTGGGGATCATTTCAGCAGCACTTTTAAGAATTGTAGTTGTATATTTGGGGTCCTGGTGTGGTGCTGTAGAATAAGCACTGGATTGCTAACTGCAAGGTCAGTGGTTCAAACCCACCCACTACTCCTCAGAAGCCCTATACAGGGTCACTAGGAGTTGCAACTGACTTGATGGCACTTAACAACAACAGCAGCAGTTGTATATTCTTAAAATTGCCATTTCATAATAAAGAATGATGTCATTAATTTTTGGAGCTTAAGTAATATGAGTCTATATTAAATGGAATCAACAGTTTGTAATACGATTCTATTGACTAATCTCTAATATCATAGCTACAGCAGATGATTAAAATAACATTTAAGAGGAAAAAGATATCATTTAAGTCATAAGTTTAAATATACTTTTTCTTAAATTATGTTTTCTTGATTATCAAAGTATTAAAAGATTCCAAGCATCCTTTTGAAAAAATATTTCAGGAGCAACTGAGGTATGCTATTTGGTTATACAAAATGATAATTGAAAATAGATCAATGTTGGAATATAATTTCTACTTAACATTTCACTTGGTGTGAATGTTATAGCTTTTTAAATTTTTTATGATCAGTATATTTTGATTCTAAGTAATGGTTTAGTAAATATAATCTTTCAAAGGCTATATGTAGTGCTAAAGTATAGTTTATTAATTAGGTTCCCTTTATGAGGTAAGTTGCAGACTTAGCTGAATTATGTTCTTATTTTCATTATAACATTTGTAATATTTTGAATATCATAGCTATGGGTTTGGTTTGGGAATGTGGTGATATGTTACATATAAAACAGTACTTATGTATAAATGAAAAATGCTGTATGTTTCCATGTTGTTGTTGTTGCTGTAAAAAGGTGTATATTGTGTTCATTTTAACTGTCAAGGCTTGAAAATGATGTGATAGTGGTCATTACCAATTCTGTTTCTGGTGATATTTTTACCTCCTCTGTTTCATTGTTTTATAAAATGATTGAAACTTGAGCTCCTTCTTCAATATAATTGTTTGGATCAGTGCACATGTGCACACATCTGTAATTTTTTGTTCTTGGTTTTAAAACAGATTGGGGCTAATTGAATTTTAAGTTGATACCTGTTCTGTTTATATACTGGGTATATTTTTTATAAAAATAGAATTTCTTGAAAATGACTTTTATGATATAGACTCTCTTTTCAGGGTCCAGCACTAGAAGATTTCAGCCATCTGCCACCAGAACAGAGACGTAAAAAGCTACAGCAGCGCATTGATGAACTTAACAGAGAACTACAAAAAGAATCAGACCAAAAGTATGCTCCTCTTTATCATTATTATTCCTTTTAGGGTCTCTTTGAATGATGTGTTTAAATGTGATGTGTAAGGTTTAAATACAATCATTGAAATATCTTTCAAAGGAACAATATGCTCCTGAACTTTGAAATTTTTATGTTTCCCATTTCACAATTTAAAATGGCCTATTAGAGGTTTTATTAGCAAATTTTCATTAGATGCTAGTAGTTTATATTTATGACTTCCATAAATTTTCATAATAGTTTGGTGATTCATTATCAGGAATAGTTAAACCAACACTAATCTCCTCTTGTTGTTGTTAAGTGCCATTGAGTCAGTTCTGCCTCATAGCGGCCCTGTATAGGGTTGCCAAGGCATGGCTGGTGAGTTTGAATGGCTGACCTTGCGATCCGATGCTTTATCCCACAGAGTCACACCAGGATTCCAACCTCCTCCTACACTTTTGTCAAATGTTCATTTTGCTTTGGTATACTAATTGAGCTTAATGTCAACTTGGAAGGAAGTCCTGGTGTGGTGCTGTTGGATAAGCACTGGACTACTAACTACAAGATTGACCATTCAAACTCAACAGCTGCTCCTTGGAAATCCTACACATAGTTGCTATGATTTGGAACTGACTTGACGACTCTTAACAACGACAACAACAATAGCTTGATGCTATAATTAGTTTCTTTGCAGCAAAACATTTGGTGAGCAGTGTTTGATTACTCTTTGGTTCATGTTTGTTCACTCATAGCTTTAATTTTTTTTTCTCCCATTTTTAGCAGAAAGCTCTATTTGCATCTGTATTTTTAATTAAAGTAGGAAAGCTATATATAACTTATTAAAATTGATGTAAATTTGATATTTAATTTGTCACAAGAAAGATCTATTAAAAGATTTTTACAGTGGATGGCTTATTGGTACATTTACACCAAAGAATAAATCTGGGCTTAAACTTTAGCATCAGTGATTATGGTTTTGAAAATTGATGTACATCAGGTGTGATCATAAATATTGCAGTATTGGCATAGACAATGTTTAAAGTCAGAATATTTCCTACTAGCACATGTAGTCTCTGGAAATTTTTCAAGTTGAACCTGGTATTTGGTGTTTACTGTATGTAACAGACTGTGGCGGAACTTTCACCCAAAAGAACAAACCTGTTGTTGTTGAGTCGATCCTGACTCATGGCGGCCCTACAGGGTTTCCAAGTCTGTATCTTGGTGGAAGCAGACCACTGTATCTTTCTCCCATGGAGCAGCTGGTAGGTTTGAACTGCTGACCTTTTCGGTTAGCAGCCAACCACTTGAACAATTGCACCACCAGGGCACCTTGCCCCAGGACTTTGGAAGATATAAAAATGAATAAAACGTAGTTCCTGATACTAAGAAGTTCACATTGGCATTTGGACAAGAGAAGACTCACAAATAACTAATTTTGATGGCCACTAATAGATGCTCTGGTAGCGTAGTGGTTACGAATCGGGCTGAGAGCCGCAAGGACAGCAGTTCGAAACTACAAGCTGCTCCATGGGAGAAAGATGAGGCTTTCTGCTCCCATAAAGATTTATAGCCTCGGAAACCTGTTCAGGGTCGCTATGGGTCAAAACCGACTCGACGGCACTTAACAACAACAATAGATGTATAAATAAAATGTTAGGAGTCCATAGATGATAATTATTAAGTACTTAGCTGTTAATTGAAAAACTGGTGGTTTGAGCCACCCAGAGGCTTTGCAGAAGACCATCTACTTGTGAAAATTCTCTGGAGCACAGTTCTACACATGGGGTTGCCTTCAGTTGGAATCCACATGACAGCAACTGGTTCGTTAATTTTGAGGGGAACCTAGAGGGAGAATGATGAATTTATATTGGGTGATTTAGAACGACTTAATTGCAGAGGGGCTTAGTGAAGGAGTGTGGTGGTATAGGGTAGTAATGTTTATTGAGGGTTTGTTAGGTACTGAACACTGAGCTAGGCATTTAACATGGCCTATGTCATTGAATTCTTCAGAATATCCCTCTGAAGATAGAAATGATGTTGGACATTGCATGATAGAATTCTGGAAAACCAATGATTTGTTTATTTCAAATACCTTCTTTAGATAGCATAAGAGACAATTATACACATGGACCTCACCAGATGGAATACAGAGAAATCATATTGACTACATCTGTGGAAAGAGTTGGTGGAAAAGCTCTATGTCATCAGCCAAAACAAGGCCAATGGCAGATTGTAGAATAGACCATCAATTGCTCATATGCAATTTCAGACTAAAGCTGAAGAAAATGAAAACAACTCCACAAGAGCCAAAATATGTCCTTGAATATATCCCACCTGAATTTAGAGATCATTTGAAGAACATATTTGATATATTAAACACTAAAGCCCAAAGACCACAAGAGTTGTGGGACATCAAGAACATCATACATGATGAAAGCAAAAGGTCATTAAGAAGACAAGAAAGAAGGAGAAGATCAAAATGGATGTGAGAAGAGACTCTGAAACTTGCTCTTCAGCGTAGAGATGCTAAAGCAAATGGAAGAAATGAGGAGGCAGAAGAACTGAACAGAAAATTTCAAAGGTCAGTTTGAGAAGTCAAAGTCAAATATTACAACGAAATATGCAACGATCTGGAGCCAGAAAACCAAAAGGGAAGAACACACTCAGCATTTCTCAAGCTGGGGGAACTGAAGAAAAATTCAAGCCTTGACTTTTGTTATTAAAGGATTCTCTGGAGAAATTATTGAATGATGCAGAAAGCATCAAAAGAAGATGGAAGGAATACACAGAGTCACTGTACCAAAAGGAAATGGTTGATGTTCAACTGTTTCAAGAGATAGCAGTCCACAGTGCAAAGCATAAGGCACAGCAATTGATAGACTAAAAATTGAAATCTTTCAAGAAAGTGAGGTGGCACAGGAGGTACTCACTCATCTCTGCCACGAAATTTGGAAGACAACTATCTGACCATCTGATTGGAAGAGATCCGTATTTGTGTCCATTCCAAAGAGAGGTGACCCAATATAACATGGAAATCATCCGACAATATGTTCGATATACCATGTGAGTAAAGTTTCACGAAAGGTAATACAGAAATGGCTGCAAGTATACATTGACAGAGAACTTCCAGAGGTTCAAACTGGATTCAGAAGAGGCCGTGGAACAAGGGATATCATTGCTGATGTCTGGTGGATCTTGGCTGAAAGCAGAGAATATCAGAAAGATGTTTACCTGTGCTTTATTGACTACCCAAAGGCTTTTGATTGTGTGGATCATGACAAGCTATGGACAACATTGCGAAGTTTGAGTTTTCCTGAACACTTAATTTTGCTCATAAGGAATCTTTACATGGCCAAGAGGCAGTTGTTCGAACAGAAGATGGGAACACTGAATGGTTTAAAATTTAAAAAGGTGTGCGACAGGGTTTTATTCTTTCACCACTTATTCAACCTGTATGCTGAGCAAATAATCCGAGACGCTGGGTTATATGAAGAAAAACGTGGCATCAGGATTGGAGGAAGACTCATCAACAACCTCCAATATGCATATGATACAACTTTGCTTCCTAAAAGTGAAGAAGACTTAAAATATTAACTGATGAAGATCAAAGAGCACAGCCTTTGATATGGATTGCATCTCAATGTCAAGAAAACAAAAATCCTCACCACGACCAATAAACAACATTCTTATCAACAGAGAAAAGATTGAAGTTATCAAGGACTTCATTCTTCTTGGATCAGCTATCAACAGTCATGGAAGCTGTAGTCAAAAAAATCAAGTGGTGTATTGCATTAGGCCTATCTACTGCACAAGAAGACCTCTTTAAAGTGTTGAAGAGCAAAGATGTCAGCTTGAGGACTAAGGTGTGCCAGAGTCAAGCCATGGTATTTTCAATAACCTCATATGCGTGCAAAATCTGGATGATGAATAAGGAAGACTGTAGAGGAATTGATGCCTTTGAGTTATGATGTTGGAGGAGAATATTGAAAGTGCCACGGGCTGCCAAAAGAACAAATAAAACTGTGTTGGAAGAAGTGCAGCCAGAGTTCTCCTTGGATAGCCAAACTTCATCCCTCATACTGCAGACATATTGTCAGGAGGGACCAGCCACTGGAGAAGGATATCATGTTTGATAAGATGGAAGGTCAGACAAAAAAAGGAAGACTCCCAGCGAGATGGATTGGCAAAGTGGCAGCATCAGTAGGCTCAACTGTGGCAGCAATTTTGAGGTTGGCCCAGGACTGGCCAGTATTTTGTTCTGTTATACATAGGGTTGCTATGAATCAGTACTGACTCGATGGCACCTAACAACAACAACAACAACATGTCATTGAATTCTTCAGAATATCTCTCTGAAGTTGTTTCCATATATAGATAAAGAAACAGTATCAAATAAACTTCTAATTTGTCTAGATGTTAAATGTCACGGTTGACATCCAAATACTAGCCAATTTGTCTCCAGAGCATTGGAATTAGACCTTGATGGGAGGGTTTTGCTAGTTAGAGAAGAAGGTTACGGGGAAGAAATGGTAGCATTTAGAAAAGAAAAAAAAAACAGAAGTAAAGGTACAGAATTGTGAATGTCTCACCTTGGTCCAGGATCAGTTCTAATCCAGGAAGACTTGATTATAAATTCTGTTGATAGGAATGGCAGAAGATAATGATGAAAAACTATAACATGAATTATAAAACTTTCTGTGACGTTAGTAGGAAAAGGGGATTGACAAAAGTTGTTAATCATTTTTGTATTCTTTAAAAAAAAAAAAAAAGGTAATTGAAAACTGTATGAAGACTAGAGGGAATGGGAAAGATATTGAACGCAGAAAAGCTCACTTAAGGACATTGTAATAATCCAAGTAAAAGATTAGAACCAAATTAGGACATGGAAATAGAAGGGAGGAATAAATAATTAAAATAATTTCAAAATCAATAATAGCAAAAAATGGTTTGTACTCGACTAGAGGAAGGAAAAAAAAAAAAGAAACAAGAACAAAGCCATCTTTGATAAAGGAAAGGAGGGTAAATTGCTACAATTTGATGAACTTGACGTATACTCATGGAGGTGGTGGTGGCTGTCTGCTGTGGAGTTGGTTCCAACTCATAGCGACCCTGTACAGGGTTTCCGAGGCTGTAAATCTTTATGGGAGAAGAACGCCTCATCTTTCTCCCGTGGAACAGATGGTAGTTTCGAACTGCTGACCTTGCGGTTTGCAGCCCGATTCATAACCAGTAGTAACTCTAAATACCAACAGAGAGGGAAGGAGTCTTCACATCAAGTATCAATGCTATCCCTTCTGTATACAGGGTAGATAGGTGATGGGCAACTTAGACATTGGCTACCTAAAATGAGGGGGTGACAAAGGCCTGAAGTGACTGGCTTACAAGGTGTCAAGAGGGGAGTTTAATTTAATAGGGTGGGGGGTGAGAAAGAATCCCCACTGAATAGTTTTAATGTTGTCTAGATGGGTCTGGTTAAAGGAGATGGGGATAAGATTCTTATGATTTAATAGTGAGTAATTGTTATCATGACTAATTGTTACTGCCACAATTGTAAATGTAGAATTTTTGTAACAAAAACTGGGGAGTAGTTAATCTTACCGTCCAGAAACAAAGGACCCTAGGACCATCAAGGGAGAAGAGCACAAGCGGAATGTGAGCCCTTAACCAGAGAAGCAGGAGCACCCGAGATGGAAGCGGAGATGGGGACATAGAGGGAGCAGCTGAGGACTTTAGATTTATGGAAAGAGAGGGACTAAGAGCTGGCGGCCAGGAGACAGACTTGCAGAATGTGCCCTTCCATGGTGTCAATTATTATATGTGTCTGAGTGTTTAAAAAAGAAAAAAGAGCTAAAGTGAATAGGAGAAATACTGTTAACTGATGATCCATGGAGGGGATTATAATCATTGTAATGAAACAAGGTGTATGATTTGTTGAATGTAAAACTGATGATCTGCCCTGTAAACTTTCACTCAATCCACAATAAAAACCTTAAAACAAACCAAAAATAAAAAAAAGGTTTATAGCTCAGCAAAGTGAGTAGATGAAGAGTTCATTGAAACAGAAAAATTAATTTGAGGTAAAGGTTTATTTATGTTGATTGTGAAAAAATATTTATGAGAATGTTCAATTGGGTTTTGGAAATGTGACTCTATAGCTTTATGAAAAAAGAAAGCTGGAGATACATATGAGAATCATCTGAAGATGAGTGATAGTGAAGCAATAAGAGCATCCTGGAATTGGAATGTAGGGTGAGGTTAGACAAAGCCTCTGTCATTTTATGTACCAAACCCACTGCTTTCAAGTTGACACTGACTCATAGAGACCCTGTAGGACAGGGTTTCCAAGGCTGTGATCCTTTATAGAAGCCGACTTCTACATCTCTCATGTGGAGTAGCTGGTGGGTTTGAGTTCTTTAAACACTGCCACCATGGCTCCTTGTCAGCTCATGTAATACTCATTTAAGGCTTAACAACAGAGGCGAGGACAACGAGGGCCAGTGAGGGAGATTTTGAAGGGAAAAAAAAAACAGAGGTGAAGAGAAAGAGTAAGAAAATCTAAACTCTAGGAGTCCAAAGAGGAAGAGTATTAATGTTTTGCAATAGCGTCCATATTAAAGTTAAAAAGAACTGATTAAAGTATAACTTTCTATAATGTGACTAGAGAAGAGGACGTGGGTTAAGAGGAACTACAAATAACTGAATTTACAGGAAGACGGGCAAGTTAAAGATGACATTCCTATTTCTAGCAAAACTGAGTAGGAGAAAGATAATGCTATGAATTGAGATAGGGAGCAGGGTTGAATCATATGGCTGGGTGGGGATGTATATTTGATTTGGAACATGGTTGAGTGTCAGGATATTCAGGAATATTCTTCCAGTCTTTGATTAAATTCCATATGTGTACTGCATGGATGTGTGTGTATATATGTGTATATATATATATACTTTTATGATATATATATCCTCATTTAGGAAGCAATAAATGACATTTTTGTTTTTGAGGGAAGAGGTGATATTTCAAATCTTTAAAAGGGCTGTCTTCATAACGTATTGACTATGTATTATCAGTTTTATGCAGATTGTGTTTGATCAGGAAATGTTTGTCTAAACTTAAAGAATTGTGACTGTATTAAGATTTGGCTGCATGTGAGTCTTCAAAATCAAACGAAACTTTTTTTTCCCTGGAAGTATCTGAAGTGCGTTTTAATTCTGTTGTTTCTTTCTCTTTTTCAGAGATGCACTCAACAAAATGAAAGATGTGTATGAGAAAAATCCACAAATGGGGGACCCTGGAAGTTTGCAGCCCAAATTAGCAGAGACTATGAATAACATTGATCGCCTGCGAATGGAAATTCACAAAAATGAGGTAAATTTGTTATGCAGAAATTAACTAAGATAAATAAATACGTCATCATAAGCTTTATTATGATAGATTAATTTTTGCTGTGATTACCTTCAAAGGTTAATTAATCATAGGGCTTATGGTCTAAATGTAAGGCATCAGTATAGTATATGTTGTTTGTTGTTGTTAGGGACTGTCATAGAATTAATCCTTCGTTGAGGTTTTTAAATGTTTTTAGTTTAAAGACTTTTATATAAAACTAAACATTTATACTGTTTTCTGTCAGCAGTAATATTGACCAAATTGAAATCAGTTCACCTTCTCTAAGAAATACATCATTATCAAAACTCAAAGCACATTTTAAATATATGAGCTTTAAAAAAATATTTACTGAACTCAGCTATTTTCTCCTCTAAGGCTTGGCTCTCTGAAGTTGAAGGCAAATCAGGTGGGAGAGGAGACAGAAGACACAGCAGTGACATAAATCATCTTGTAACACAGGGGCGAGAAAGGTCATTTTTTGCATGTTACCTGTATCCCCACCCCAACTCTCAAACGTTCCCACCCTTTTGTCCTATACTTCCTGTAGCCCTTTTTCCCTCCTTCCCTAATAAGTTTAGGTTAAACTAATAGTCTCAGTCTTTGGAACCTAAGTACTTTTCCTGTGTTTTTAAAAATCACTAGGTAAAGTATGGAAATGTTCAGTAATGGTAGCAGGGGCACCATCCAGTTCTAGTCTCGTGGCAAAAGAGAGAGTTGATTCATTAAGGTTTTTTCTTTTTTATTTAAAGTTTCCTTTGTTTATTTTGTCATTTCTTTTTTTTTTTTTAAAGACAGTTTCATATTTATAGAAAAATTGCCTGAAAAATACAGTCTTGAAATACTCCTCCTTTCTTCACAGTTTTTCTTACTATTGTCATGTTGTACATAAGGGATTGCCATAGAGTTGGAACCTGAGATTATGTTAATGTTCTCTGAATCTCATCTTACAAAAATGTAAAATGGAAATGAAAAGCTGTGTAGGCTAAGCACTCAAGGTCAGCAGTTCAAACTCACCAACTGCTCCTCAGAAACCCTACACAGTGCCGCTATCAGTCAGAACTGACTCGGCTACACTTAACACTAACAGCATATAGGATTGGTAGTCATAAATGAAATGATGTACACAAAGTACATAATAGTCAATAATATTTGCTTGTCCAATGTTTGTCCTTAGCTTGCCTTTCCTTTTTTTCCCTGTTACCATATTTGGCAACAGTGTGTGTCTTCATTGTATCAAGAGGTACTGTAATATACTGGTCCTTGTTATTAGGTAACACCTAGAGTAAAAGGATCTAATCTCTCTAGCTACTTTGTTATCTACTAAATAGAAGAAGGCTTTCAGGCTTGTCAAAAGTACTGTTAAACCTGGTTTTTAAAACAAAAATACTAGCATTCTTCTCTTTGACTTAAAACAATGTTTAACCTGAATCAGATACCTTCAGAGTACCTGCTTTTTTTTTTTTCTTCCACTCAACATACTTTTATTTTGATGGTCTTTTTTTCCCCTTTACTTTTCTCCTAATTTTAATTATAAAATTTTCAAATTTATGCTACTTATCACTGAGCTGGTATTACATTCATATACATTTTCTTTGCTTCTTGTTTGAGACTATCATGTTCAAAGTCTTTTTTATATTTTATTTTATTTTATTTTTTTTTTAATTAAATGTTTTTATTTTGCATTGAGTGAAAGTTTACAGGGCACATCATCAGTTTCACATTCAACCATTCATATAGCTTGTTTCATTACATTGATTATTATCCCCGCTATATATCATCAGTTTACAGTGTTTCTCTCTATATCCTCTTTAGCTTTTTTTTTTTTTTTGGATGGGGGGGTGACTTGGCTTATTGGAATTTACAGTCTCGGCTTTTAGGGGAGGTTTTTACATTTGTCTGTGGATATCCAGGGCTCACGTATGAAATTACTAACAAGCATTACTGAATAATCAGATGAGGGACAGTTTGTTATGTCTACTAGGTAGCTAGAGTCTGATCCTCAGAGCCTATGGTTTGGACGGTCAACAACGCTTGGGCCCACAGGGGCTTGGCCTCCTGACCGGGTTTGTGCTGTCTGCATCTGAGTCCTCCTTTTTTATTGATTGTTTAAGGGACGCTGCCTGTCTTAGGTGGTCAGTGCGAATTCCTCAGTCTTACCAGTCATTGAGACTCATTGCAGCATGGCAATGTCTCTGTCCCAAGTAGCCGAGGTTCCACGTGATCCTTACCCGTCTCTGGCCACACATCCAGCATATAAACAGCCGCCATCCGAGGAAGGCAGGGAGGGAGGAGATCAGCTGGGGACCCCATGCGCCCGACGTTGCGGGCCCACCACCTGCTCTAAGGTGACCAAGCAGGATCACTATGCTGAGGTTCAATCCAGTTCCTCGGGGATCTTATTCTCTAGCATGGGTAACAAATGGGTAGCCACGCAGTGTTCACTTTGAGAATTACTTATATCATAAAATTGAGCGTGTAGCTGATGAATATCCCCAGACAAGTGTATATTGTTCCACAACCTTCTAAAATGCTGTTGGATTAAGTTCCAATTAATTTCTGGGTTACTGAAAGATAACACAAATCTACTTATACCTTGAGTAACCTTAGCTGGGAGTGTAGTCTGGATATGTTGTTGTTGTTAAGTGCCGTCGAGTCGGTTCCGACCCATAGCGACCCTGTACAGGGTTTCCAAGGGTGTAAATCTTTACGGGAGTAGAAAGCCTCATCTTTCTCCCGCGGAGCGGCTGGTAGTTTCGAACCGCTGACAGTAAGGTTCGCAACCCAATTCGTAACCACTACGCTACCAGAGCTCTATTGGGTCTTATTTCCCTTAAGCAGTCTTCCTTTCTTGAACTTGACCTACAACTATGGATGCAGTAGCTCAAAAGAGGGGAACAAATCGTTATAGCAAGGATCATTCCCACCCCCTCCATACATAGAGTAGACAGGGAGGGGCTACTTAGACACTGGCTACCCAAAATGGGGGAGGGGTGGTGGTGGTGGTGGCTATAAAAGCAAGAAGTGACTGGCTTACAAGCTTTCAAGAGGGAGCCTAGATTCAGATGGTGTGGAGGAAGGTAGAATCTCCACGGAGTAGTATCCAATCTGTCTGGACGGGGCTGATGAAAGGAGATGGGGATAGCACTCATGTGGCACAAAACTGAATAATTACGATCAGGACTGACTGTAGGGGTTGGAAATGCAAAGATGGATGTTTTGTAGCAAATGAGGGGAATGGTTGACTCTGCAGTCCAGGCGTGGAGGTCCCTTGGACCTAGTTGAACTCTAATCCAGTCATTGAAGCAGGTCAAGTGGGTATTATCTGCAAGTGTGGATGTTCTTGTGCATATGCCCTTCTTATCAGCTGGATGCTTCACTGTCCACTCTAGTCCTCTGTGACTATGTCACTGACCCTGGGCCTAAGAGTCCCCAGATCTTGCCAAACTGCTAGCCAAACCAGGTCTCCACCTGGGTTTACAGGAGTCTATTGAATGTGGTAGGGCTTAGCTTGCAGCTTCATTGCTGTTTTTCCCTCACTTCCCCTTAACGGTGACCATCGTAGTCACCAGTTAGAGCGCATGTCTGCTCGTGTATTCCCGTTGAGTTTTAGAAGGGGTTTTTCCCTGTGAGCACTCGACTGCTTGCCTTGATGTCTCCTGGGCAAGCAACTTGCTTGTTTTTGTAGTAGTCAGTTGGACTGCCATTGTTGTTTTGTATTTTTCCTGTCTGTCTTTCTTTCAAGAAATATCTTCTGTTCTTCTAGCTGCTCCAGGCTGGTCTTGTCCTTTCAAGTGGAAATTTCCCACCTCAGAAGATTCTGGATGGGGTTCAGGATTCCCCCTTTGGTCTTATGTAATGCAGAGGCTCCACAGGAAGCCTCCTTCACTGGACATTTTGTAGCCACATTTTAGATTTTTCCATTACGTGCTTTTTTAAAAATTACTAATTTCTCCATTAAGATGATTAACTGGAAGTTTACTTCCTACAATAGTTAGAATTTATGGTTTTTTAGTAAAAGAATAAAGACCCATGCTTGTTTCAACTAACAAGGGGTTTTGTCGGCTAATTTCAGGGGTAACTTAATCTAGGAGCTCAGATGATAATTTTAGGACTCAATTTCTCTTGATCTTAATCTCCTGATCTCAAAGTTTTGCCCTCCACAGTGGTAGCTTCATGATAAGGTTTCATATCATGGTAATATCCCAAAACTTTAGGCTTACATTCCTCCAGTGGAATATAGCCCCAGGCAGAAAGCTGTATGCATCTTGGTATCTGGTTGAGGCTTACTGTGTATCTGTAAAGGCCTACTAGCCAACCTCCAGTCCTGTACCTGTGCTCTGATAGGCCCTCTGGAGCCAGGAGAGAAACAACTCCATCTGAACCCTGTGAACTCAACACAAGTCTGGATGGCGCCCTAGAAATTTCAGGGTTCTCCAGCCAAAAGAAAGGGGAGAGAAATCCTGGATCATGAGAGACAAGTGTTTACAAAATTTTTCAGTTTATCCCTGGTGAAACATGATAGTAAGATGTCTTTACTGAATAAATGCTATGTGTCTAGAACATTGTAGCTTTTGATTTTTATCTCCAGAAATTCAGCAAAGAAGGATTTCACATTTAGATGCAGTTTATATAATCAACACTTCAAAAAGTAAGGACTTGATTTGGAACTGTGCCATTGATATTTGATTTCCTTATTTGATCCAGGGAGATCAACTTATAGACTATGTACAGAGTTTCCATGTGGGTAATACTTGATCAGAGCTAATTTTATGTTTTATAGTCCTGAGGGAAGTTACACTGATGATGCAAACCAGGAAGTCCGTGGGCCACCCCAACAGCATGGTCTCCACAGTGAGTTTGATGATGAATTTGAAGATGATGATCCTTTGCCTGCTATTGGACATTGTAAAGCTATCTACCCTTTTGATGGTATGATTTTCTTAATATATTATACTTGTTAAAATTAATTTCGTAAAGTCTAAAAGTATCAACTCACTCCCTTTGGTATCTTTGGTTAAATAATATGGGGGTAAATCAAGAAGTATTGTTAGCAGGGTTACAGTTAACATATGTGTAGGTCTGTTCTAAACAAAATGTGTTCAAAGATAATTCTGTGTTCTGTGGATGGCTACAGACAGTTTCTCTTAAGTAGTGGGTGTGTCTTAGTCTTGTTAGGGTGCCTTTAGAAAAGATCAAATCAAAAACAGTAGCTTCTGAGGGAATCTGTTAGGCCAGTTAAATACAAAGCAGAGCGATTAGTACAGAATGTTACAGTGACAGTGTTTTGGGATTGTAAAGGAGTAATCTTGATAGATTTCCTCAAAGGATACAGGTCAACATGGAGCCTTCTTATGAAGGAGTTTTCAGAAAATGGAAAGTTGCAAAGTGAGGAAAAGGCCAGAAAAGTTGAGCCAAGAAACTTTTTTTCCTATCACAACTTTGCATCTATTCATTCTTCAAGGGTAGCAAGAGTTGTCCTAGGAAAATTTCTTTGGAAAAGCTTTTCCCATCTACTTTACACCCCTGACATTGCCAATTCAGGTTTCTTTTTGTACCCCAAACTCAAAGAACACTTAAAAGGAACATGTTTTATGTATTTTTGAGAATGCCAAAACTGCCATTTTAATATGGTGTAAGTCAAAGAGTGCAGAAATCTTCAAGAAGATGGATTAGAGGGACGGAAACACCACCTTCAAAAAATGTATAGCTCTAGATAGCAAATGTTATGAGAAACAATAGCTTCACAGTTTGATATTTTCATTTCATAAAGAGTTATATGATTTTGTAGCAAATACCTTTTTACTTACCCTGGTATATTACCAGAAATTAACATCCGAGTTCATTAGTATGAATACTTTTGTTATAACTCTATTACATTTATAGAGAATTTTCCTTTGCCTCTCATACATGGAAATGAAAGAACATAACCTACGTTATCAGCTCCTGATTGCAGAGTCTTATTTGCGTATCAACTCTGGTTGATACAGAATTGCCCCCAGAGATCTTACTAATGACTACATGTTCTCAAGGAAGATGAAGCAGCTTGAACATAGAGCCCTACTCAGTAAGTGCAAGGCTGGTGGCTGTTGCTTCATGCCCTTCCTTGTTAGCTTACTGACATTGAGACTAGGTCAAGGTAGATGGCATAGCTGAATGTACCACCTTAGGCTGACTGTAGGCTGCCTTGCAGGGAAGGAGGGACAGAATGTGACATATGGACACAGATGTTGTGAGGGAAGTAAGGCAGTGTGGCTCTTACCTGTAGAGTTTTAGGTGCCTGTACTGTGAAAGGAGCAGAACACCTTCACAAATAAGTTGTTAGAAAATCGTGTGATTTAAGGTCCTTCTCCACTGATCCGTTATATTGGATTTTAAATTGAATGAAGTCTTTACTTCTCATTCTGAAAAAAATATATTGAATTAAATCTTGCTTCATACAATAACCCTGGACTGCAAACCACCAGTTGCTCTGTGGGAGAAAGGTGAGACTTTTTCTGCTCTTGCAAAGATTTAAAAAGGCTTTGAAACTCTATATATGATCGCTGTGAGTCTGAAGTGACTCAACTTAACAACAACAAAATTGCTTCTAAACACTGACTACAAGGTCGATTTGAATCACAAGGTCCACAGTTCAGAGTCACCGTCTGGTCCTCGGAAACTCTGTACACTGTCGCTATGAGTTGGGACCGATTCAACGGCATTTAACTGCAATGACAACATCACTCTCTAAATTACATCATTTGTTGTTACATGCCATCAAGTTGGTTCTGACTCATAATGACCCTGTATAGGGTTTCCAAGGGTTTTTAAATCTTTGCAGGATCAGAAAGTCTCATTTTTCTCCCATACAACTGCCTCCTGGGCCTGAACCGCCAACCTTGTGGTTCACAGTCCAATCTTTAATGTACAATGTGATACCAGGACTCTAAGAAAGGAATTTAGCATATGTTAAATGAAGATTGGGTTTAAAAAATTATTACTGCCAAGCAGACTAGGAGTGGTTAGGGATGGGAAAAAGGAGACGCTGAGGCTGGTGAGGGTTTTGAAGGAAGTGTGAGTTTGTGGCTTTGACAATTCTGCTTCTACCACCAGCAGTCTTTACTTCTTTCTTCCCACCCTTTCACTATCTTGTTACTATTCTCCTGATATATATACCTCATGATTTTGTAGCTAACAGCAACACTCAAATTTGAGGAAAGCGTTAGAACTGTGAAATAAGAGTTAGAAAATCTTGGCAGAATGTGTGTATACTGTTACTGTGGCTCAGTGACTTCGTTTGTTAAATGGGAGTGATGTTAGTGCCAGTCTCAAAGGATTTGTGTGCAGCTCGTATGAGACATGATGGATCTGAACTGTTGGGTACTAAGCATCTTACAGGTGTTGTTACTGATGAGCCACTCTTGATTCCAGGCATACTAAATTTGTTAACATTTAATCTTGTTTTGTGTTGTTTTTGTTAACTTTTGTTGCAAATTGTCTCTGTGCTTAAATTATGCCTGAACTATGAAAACTCTTACTTAGGACACAATGAAGGTACTCTGGCAATGAAAGAAGGTGAAGTTCTGTACATTATTGAGGAGGACAAAGGCGATGGATGGACAAGAGCTCGGAGACAGAACGGTGAAGAGGGCTACGTCCCCACATCATACATAGATGTGACTCTAGAGAAAAACAGTAAAGGTGCAGTAACTTATATCTAAACTAATGTCAGCTCTGCTGTGCGTGGCATAAGAACGATAGCATAAATTGGAAAGCACATTCACCAGGTTGGACAATGTAAAGGGCATCCAAGATTTATTGTTCACTATGTGAGCTGAGTGTAGGCTTGATCTTAGAGATGTGAATATTACCACAAGAAAATATTCTCATGATGCTTTACTGTTTGAGTGATGTTGGTGTGAAGCTTAATCGATGCCTTTTGCTTTATGTCCTGCTTAAGTCTGTGTGAAGGATTTGTGTTTTTCTGGCTTCTAAACCCTAGAATTTGGTCTATTGGATATGAAACCACAGACAGAAAGCTTAGCTTCCCTTTGCTTCGGGAAACACAATGGCTGTTGTAAATTCAAATAAGCAAAACTGCTCTGAATGCTAGAGAAAGTTGATTCCCAAAAGAGTAGTTTGTTCTAGGGGTTTGGATTTGTAGCTATATTTTCAGGAAGAAAATTAATAGTTGATTGATTGAGTAAAATAATTTATTTTAATAATGAATTTTGCTTTCCTTTCTAACTTTGGTTTTCTAAAGGAAGAAAACAAGTACCTAGTTACATAATCTATTTAAGTAGTAGGTTAATTAAGAAACCTGTGAAACAAATCATCCTGGTGTAATTATTTCCAATAATGTGCAGGCCTCCTAAATTAATCTTCTGTTTGTAGTTTTCATCTTGAAAATGTCTTTTGGGAAATACCATGTTAGTGATCATTTAGCAGTTGTATTTAGGGAAATAGATTCTAAGTGAACTAAGTAAGATAGAGAGGGAAGGACTGGGAAATATTTACTTTTAAAAGAAAATCTTTTTTTTTTTTTTTTTTTTTTGACGGAGTTGGGGGCAGATACCGGTATCACCGTTTAGGGCATTTCCTCATGTTAGCTCATTTAGTCATCTGTTAATAGGATAGATTTTTTTTCCTTCCAATTACTTTCAACACGCATTTGTTGCAAATGGTTATACAATCACTTCCACCGTTTTCCGCAAGGATGGATTGTGCAAAATGTAACATCGTAAGTTAGTTTGTGTGGGGAAATCAAGCGAGAAATCAATTAAGAGGTTGTTCCTTGATTTTGCTCATGTCCCCAGTTTTTTTGTTGTTCAGTAGCTGACTATAGAATGTTTGTAGAGACATTTGGGACACTTTAACTGAACACCCCTTTTGGTTTTACCAAAGGTCTTCAGTAATTGTTCTTTTCTTTTTCCTCCTGGACTGCAGGTTCCTGAAGAGGGTTTCTGAGGAAATGGGCAAGATGTTGAAGGAGGTTACATGCAGCTGCTTTTGGGGGGAGGGTATTAGACTTTTCAGGCTCTAAAAGAGAGTGAGAGAAGCAAGTTGCATGAGTGCATGCAGACATGATTATTTTTCACTAACTTCATTAGCATTTCCATACTTTGTGTTTAAAAAAAAATCATTTTAATACCAATCCTTAAACTCCTAGTTCACAATTATTCACATGAAAGGAAAAAAGAAAAAGAAGGGGGGGAAAAAAGCCAACAGTGGCTGACCTTTTTTTTTTTTTTCCATATCAGAAAGAATGCAGAGCTGTCTTTAACTTTGTCTTACAATTTGGCTGTCCCAACAGGACTGCCTTCATCCAAGCTCTGTTTCAATTGGCTTTTAGATCCATTGTCTTTTAGAATCCTTGCCATTTGTCAGTGTCTGCCTGCGCCACCTCCATGCTCGCTTAACATCCTGTTGCATGTCTAGAGTGATTGGCTAGATTTTTTTCAGGCATGTCTTTATAATCCCTTGTTCTTGTCAATGCCTTTGTTATGTTTTATGTTAGTAGTGCAAATCACTTTGTCAAAACATATTCAGCACTAATGTTTCCATCCTAGTATTTGTGTACGCTGCTATAAACTTCCCCACTACAAAACATTGCAGTTTTGGCATTATGAAGAAGTAGTCTGTGAACCTGAACTATTTATGATAAGAAAAAGAAAACATCTCTGCTCTAGCCTACAGCCCAGTTGAAAGAACACTTTGAAACGTAATACATCTTCAGCACCTCAGTCTGGGAAGAATATATAGTCAGCACTGAAATCTTGGCATAATAGACACAGAAGATACTCACCACCTCAAGACAAAGGACTGTTTTCAGAAGTCAGCTGCTTCCATTCAAATGCTGCCTTAAACTAGAGTGCCTAAATCTGTTGATTGCCAACTCTACCACTACAGTATCCCAACAAAAGGGCTTAATGTGTCAGCTCAGTGCGACCTCCTTTCACTCTGCACCTCTGCTGCAGCTGCCAGATGTAGCCTCGGTAGGTGGCTTTGAGAGCTCCACCATGTACGATGGTGCATCTTCACATTTGTGCATCAAACTCAAGACATCTCCAAATCCATTTACTTTACTCAGTGTTTTTAAGAAAAGTTTTATGGATCCTCCCCATTGTCTTTTAATTTGGGGTTATGAAGTCTTCATTTGATTATTAACAATGATAGTCTGTTTCCAAGTGATGATTTTGTTTGAACCCAGATAAAATTTAGTGAAACTTTGTAATGATCTCTGTGCACTTTTAATTGTAAAATGGAAACTTCTGTATGTTAATACTGTAAATATATTTGTTGTTAGTGCCCCTATTGCTCATTTTGTCCTGCCTTGAATTTGTGATTCTGTTAATGACTTGTATCTTAACTAATTTCTTAGTGATGTTGTAATAGAGAGACGGGGGTGGGGGTGGGGGAGTATTTGTATCAATGAAGCTTCATTAATTTGTTCCTTTACTGTTTTGAGGGGAGAAAGAGAATGTGAAATGTTCTGTGTATTATTGGATTTTAAGCAATATTTTAGAAGCTGTGTGACTGCTTTTAATCATTTTCCCCCCAGTGTTATTTGAATCTTACTGCCAGTTATACTAAAGCTGGATGACAAATGTGTGAGCGTTAATGCCTTCATGAGATCAAGTATGCCACTGTTAAACGGCTGACATAGAGTGCATTACCTGTGAGGCTAGTAAACTATCAAGTTTTAGATTTGAATCTCGTTACAGGGTTATTTATATAATGTGACATTATTCAATACTGACAGACTACGTGAAGTAGTTTTAAAATCTAGTGCTATTTTTATTTTAAAGGTTAGCAATGAGGAGGAAATGTGATCTGGCTGTGTTTGTCTTCTATACAAAGCCTGAAGTGCTTGTATTTTTTGGCTAACAGCCACAGAGGGCAAAGTTTAAGGCTTTCTTGTAAGGACTAACTGTTCTTTTCAAGCTACTGTTTGTTTTTGTAAAAGCAGGATTTGCTTCCGTAGGAGGCAAGTTCCTTCACGTGGAATCGTGCAACCTGTATATGGGTTATTACATTTGTACTTGCACAGTTAAAATCATTCTTAAATCATTCTTAAATTTTGAACATGTGGATTGTCCCAAGAGAAATCTTTAATTTTTCAGTAATTTCTAATCTCTTTGTGCACATGTTGATTTCTTAATGGTAAATGCTTTGTTTAAGATAGTGTTCTTGGTTGAAAATATTTTCATGGAATAAAACAATCTTTTCAATGGTCAGTTGAGGTGTATAGTGTGTTATCTTGTTACCTTGATAACTAAAATGATGTAATGATTTTACCCTCGAAGATGCTATGTTTTAGATAGTACCAAGTTAGGTGATAAGCTTCAGAAATGGAAACATCTGTATTGGGCAAAGCAGTGTGGGTGATTGCATTCTCGTTTTAGTTTCTCTCAAACTTTCTTAAAGGAATTTTTTTTCAGACAGTAAAAGCTCTTTTCATTGTTTTGAACTTTTGGTTTGTTTCACTAATACCCCTTTATTCCTGGTGTGGCGCTGTAGGTTAATCCACCAGACTGCAAAATTGTTGGTTCAAGCTCACCAGCTGGTCCTTGGAAACCCTATACAGGGTCTCTATGGATCGGAATCAACTCAGCAGCACTTAGCAACAACATTAATCTATAGCATTAGATACTCTTTTCCTGCTATTTTCATTGTTTTGTGTGTCCCTGTTTGCAACTGTGGCATGAATGTCAATAAATGCAGCCCTTCACTGTTCAGAATTACCCTTCCATTTCCTTTTTGGGTTCCAAAAATTTCTATTCATTGTCTCACACTGTGACACTAATTATGATAAACATTCTCCTATGCTTAGAAGTGTCAGGAAGACACGGATGTTCTCTCCTGACGAATCAAGAAATACAGGAAATGCTGGCCAGTGTGTGGTGGCTGTATCAGGGGATGTGGGAGAGGGATGAAGAGGATAAGATGATGTAATGGAAAGGCCATAAACCACAGCTATGGTAGAACAAAGCAGATTATTTATTACATGTGATTTTTTAAAAGTACTTGATTTCAGCGCAAGTTCAGTGTGAGACAAAATTTTCTATTTTTGTAATAGACAATATAGTTGTGGAAGCTGGGGCTGATTTGAATCTCAACTCAGAGGAGAGTTTCTTGTGGAAAATCCAGGGCACTGATCTCAGCCTTTTCGTATTAAATAGGTAACTGAGGTGAAAAACTAGAAGGCATGTTAATCAGTTGTAGTTGGTAATCGTAAAATGTTCTCAGTACTCTGGATACTAAGCTTAAAACAAGATGAAATTTTTAAAGGATCAATTATGTAGTCTACCGTTTGGTTGAAAAGTAAATTACAGGTTTGTTTTATATATAAAGCACTACAGTATTTAATAAATATAAGTAATACATCTATGAACAACAGTAAAAGAAACATAAATCTATCATCCACTTTAAGAAATAGAAAATTACCATCTCCCTCTTCCTCAAAGGTAAAGCATTATCTTTAATTGCATATTTATTTATTTTTCTTTGTAGTTCTACCACATGGATGATTTTTCCTAGTCCTGATTAGCTTTTTTTTTTTAAATGAGCTTTGTAAAGTTGGTGTCCTCTCTGTGGGCAGTGCTGATAGTCAGCTGGTACACACTAATATTGCCATGTTGTTAGGAATTGCTGTTGAGTAGATTCTGACTCATGTGTTCAGAGTAGAACTGCTCCACAGAGTTTCAGCAGGGCTATCTCCTGAGGTGTCTCTGAGTGGGTTTGAACCACAAACTTTTGGACTAGTAGGCAAGCACATAATTGTGCTACCCAAGGACTCTGGTATTGCCATACAGAATATTGAATATTGAAATATTTCTATATGGATTGGTAAATAGTAACTCCAAAAAGTAGTGAAACTAATTAGGTATATAAGTTTCAGTATATATAGGTTATCTCAGAAACCACCTGTGACACTTTGTGATATAATTCCTGGTTTGGACACTGGGAACAAAGCTGAAAGATTTACTGTCGATTTACTACTATTTTAGGTATTTGGGGAATCTTCTCTGGTGTCGTAAGACTTTGGGTGGAAGCACAACATGGGCAACCAAGCTGAGGAAGGTCTCTTTTCATCACCAAAGAAAGACCTAAGTTTGCTGGGAAGATTGGAAGGGAGCATGTAGGCAGACAAAGGTGTCGGGGGCATATCCCTTATGGTGTGTACAATAATGGCTCTGTAGATGGTTTGTTTAAGTTTTGCTTTATTGTTCCGTTCATTTAAAGGGCCCTGCCCTGTGCGTTTTAGAGAGGTGTGAGGAAAACGCAACAAGAACACTGTTTAATACTGTTGAAACTCGCTGTTTAATACTTTATAACAGCGTGACAGCACAACTGCTCTGTTTTCTCCTCTTCTCCCCTGACCAGTCTCTGGACAGGAGAGTCACGTTAGCCTGCCATCTCCACCTCCATAAGCATGCCATTCCCTGCACTTCCTAGCATTGAGTCGACCAGCTCACTCTGTTTCAGGGCCAGCAATCCTCCTGGCATACTTGACCAGTTTCTTCTTCCCTTTTTCCCCTTCTGCATCATAAATGATAGAAAACCAATAACTATTTTACTGACCAGTGCTGGGTTGTTTTTTCCTAATTGACTTACATGAAGGACACAGTGTTGGATGTGGAGTGAGACAGACAGAAAAAAAAAAATACAAGCTACTTGTTTGGCAGCCTAGATCAGCAATCCCCCCACCCGTCTCACTTCTTCCTCCATGTGTACGCCATGTTCTGTGGAAGAATGATCCACTCTGTCTTGGAGAAGTGCTCCGTAGAAGTGAGGATGGCAAGACTTTATCTCACTTACTTTAGATGTGTTATCAGGAGGGATCAGACACACAAAGAGATGGATTAACAGTGACCACAGTTGTATTATCAAATATAACAATGATTGTGAGGATGGCACAGAAAAGGGCAATGTTTAATTAATATGAGTTGGAATTGACAGTAAGCACCTAACAACAGCCATAGAAATGCTCACAGTATCAGTCATCTCAGGTGTAACGATTAGTCTTTCCTGCCTGGAGGAAAGAAGAGTGATAAAACTTAAAGCTGCTTGGAACACCAAGTCCAGTGGGCTAATGAATGGCCCAAGTGAACACCAGTCTCCATGACCCTGAGACCAGAAGAACTGGATGGTGCCCAACTATCACTAGTAACTGCTCTGGAAGGAATTACATTAAAGTCCTGGATAGAGTGTGAGAAACGTGGAACAAAACTCAAAATCATAAAGACCAGGCTTACTGCTTGGAGACTGATGGAACCACAAAACTATGGCCCTTGGTCATCTTCCAGCTCTGGAACTAACTCATCTCCATGACTCAGTTTTCAGGCACGCAATAGGTAGGTATGTACGGAAACCACAAAAGGAGTGAGATATGTACAACATAGACTGGCCAACCATTCAAGCTCAGAAAGGTAGCATTTACCTGAAGACAGAATTCAGAAGAGCTGGGAAAGGAGGAATGGGAATGGGAAACGCGGAAGAGGTGGGATAAGTGATGTTACATGGAGGGGATTACAATCGTTAAGATGGAATGAAGTGTATTATTTGTTGAATGTAAAACTGTCTGTAAACCTGCACTGAATTCACAATAAAAAGTTTTAAAAAAAGGAAACAAACAAAAAAAACTCTTCACAATTTTCTTTGGTAGCCTGCTTTCCCCAGAGTGGGTGACCCAAGAATGAGAGAAAAGATGGAATCAGCAGTTTTTATAAGTTCATTTTGGACATGACATAACATAGCTTTCACCATATGCTTTCGTCACATAGATGAACCTGTATACATGCTCTTGTTAGTGCCATTGAGGTGGTTCTGAGGAGTGGCTGGTGGGTGAACTGCTGACCTTGCCATTAGCAGTCCAGTGCTTATCTTACAGTGCCACACCAGGACTCGGAGAAAAATACACAAGTGTCAACACCAGGAAGAAGACATTGGGGACTATATTGTAGGCTACCTATCTCACAAATCTTTCATCAGCTTTATGTTACTAATACAAGAGGACTTGAAAAAGTTTGTGTGTGGGTGGAAGATAAAGACTACAAAGTATATTTCACAACATATGCCTCATTAAAATCAAAACTTTTATAAGCCATGATACCAGCCATTTAGTCCATCTGTAAAGTACTGAGAGTCCTGGGAATTTAATCATGTCAATACAGCCTTTTTGACGTTGTTGTTGTGAAGTGCCGTCGAGTTGGTTCCGACCCATAGTGACCCTGTATAGGGTTTCCGAGGAACAACTGGTGAGCTTGAACTGCCAACCTTGCAGTTCAAATGGCTTTGCAGTCTGGCGCATTAACCCAGAGCGCCACACCAGGACTCCTTTGACATAAGCTGAAGAAAAAGGGGTGCCATGTAAAGATTTTTAAGATTTAAGACTAGGAAACAAAAATAAGCCAGAAGGAGTCAAATTAGGACTATAAATTGAATGTCTAATAGTTTCCCATCAAACTCACCAAATTGCCCTTGTTTGATGAGTAGTGAACAGGGACATGTCATGGTGGAGAAATACTCTGATGAAGCTATCCCAGCCATTTTTCTGCTAAAGCTTTGACTATCTTTCTGAAAGCACTCTTAAAATAAGCAGATGTTATTGTCTGTTGACCCTCCAGAAAGTCAACAAGCAAGATGGCTATTTATGTTGTTAGGTGCTGTCAAGTTGGTTCCAACTCATAGCGACCCTCCGCACAACAGAAAGAAGCACTGCCCAATCCGCATAGTTGTTATGCTGTGGCCATTGCTGCTGCCACTGTGCAAATTCATCTCATCGAGGGTCTTTCTCTCTTTTGTTGACCCTCTAGCACAATGTCCTTCTCCAGGGACTGGTCCATCCTGATATACATGTCCAAAGTATGAGAGACAAGGCCTAAATATCCCACCCAGCTTCTGTGGAACTTCTAGTTGTACTTCCAAGACAGATTTGTTTGTTCTTCTGGCGGTCCATGATACTGTCAAACCTTCATCTCCAACACCATAACTCAAATGATCAATTCTTTTACAGGCTTCATTATTCATTCAACTTTTTTAAATGAAAAAGTTTTTGTTGTTTTTTATTTTCTTTTAAAAATGTGCCTATGAGGCATTTGAAAATATCATTGCTTGGGTCAGGTGCACCTTAGTCCTCAAACTGATCTTTCCTCTTGAACCCTTTAAAGAGATCTTGTGCAGATTTGCCTAATGCAATACATTGTTTACTTTCTTGCTATTGCTGCTGTGAGTGTTA